AATTCTAGAGAAAAATTTTGCAAAGTAAAGAAAGAAGGAAAATACCTTCAANAGCCTCCAAAACCACCTTCACCCAAGAGAACTGTCAATGTTATAAGTGGGGGTGAAGAGATCAATGATGTATCATATAAAAAGGTTTCAAAAGTAACAATTACCCACGGGAAGAGGCCTCGACATGTCTTGGAGGGAGAAAATATTACGTTCGCTGATGCAGATGCTGAGGGTCTATTAACTCCACATAACGACGCACTAGTAATATCTTTACTGGTACATGACACTAACGTGAAACGAGTTTTGATTGATCCAGGTAGTTCTGTGAACATTATTTTGATACGAGTATTGCGTGAGATGCAAGCTGAAGAAAAAGTAATACCAAAGGCACATACTCTATCTGGGTTTGATAATTCCAGCGTCGTTACAAAAGGAGAGGTAACGCTCACCACATTTGCTGAAGGAGTCATCAAAGACACAAAGTTCCAGGTAGTAGACATGGAAATGGCTTACAATATGATTCTTGGGAGACCATGGATCCATGAGATGGACGTTATTCCTTCAACTTTGCATCAAGTCATTAAATTTCCAACGCCATGGGGAATCTGTCAAATCAGGGGAGATCAACAGGTATCTAGGAACATCAACTCCGTGACAGACTCAAGCACGAAGGGTGAAGAAAAATAGCAATTACAGAATTCAGTTGAGGATAACATAGCATCAACCTCAACTGAACGAGGACAAACAAATGTAGATTCAAGGCCCGATTCCATTCAAGAACCAGAGGAAAATGAAAACATCAAAACGACGATAGAAGAGCTGGAGGCTGTGGTTTTGTTTATACACTGGCCAGAAAGAAAAATGTATATAGGAGCTAATCTTAGCCCGGAGGTGAAGCGTAAGTTAATTTAATTTCTAAAAGCTAACGCAGACTGTTTTGCTTGGTCCCACACTGACATGACAGGTATACCACCGGAGGTGATGACTCATAAACTAAATGAAGATAATTCATATCCTCCAGTCAAGCAAAAGAAAAGAAAGCAAGGAACTTTCAAGAATCAGGTGATTCAAGAAGAAGTCCAAAAATTGCTAAAAATTGGTTCAATTCGTGAGGTAAAATATCCTAACTGGTTAGCTAACACTGTTGTGGTTCCTAAGAAGAACGGTAAGTGGCGAGTCTGTNCTATAGTAATTTGAGCACTATCAAATTGTTCCTTCCAATTAGCTGCTTCCAACTGAAAGTCACGAGCTTCCCTCTCTGAATCAAGAACAGCCTTTTCAGAGTCACGTGCCACCTTCTCTAATAGAGAAACTCTGCTCATCAGCTCTGTACCAATGAGATTGGCCTGAAAATGATAAGGGAGGAAAATAAGAATTCTAGAGAAAAATTTTGCAAAGTAAAGAAAGAAGGAAAATACCTTCAAGGTAGCATGAACTGTGTCATTCATCAAAGCCAGACAGCTATGGCTATTCATTTTTTCTTTCTTAATTGGGCCAATTAGGGGCTCAAGCCAAATATCTGCCTGACCAGATTTCTTCAAAAGGCTGTTGTTAGCGGGAACTTCGATAGTCACGCTCCTCATAGAAATGCTTCTACTTGAAGAACCCACTTCTGTATGATGGGTAGTAGAAGGAGGAACTGCCAAAGGAGGAGTGGTAGAAGAAGTAAAAACAGCAGAGAGAGGTACAGAAGCAGATGGAGTAGGTAAGGAAGGGATCAAAGGCACGATAGGAGAAGGAAAAGAAGGAATTGAAGATATGGGAGTTGAAGACAAGGGAGGTTCGTCTAAAACAGGCCCTAACTCACCACTCTCGAAACCACTAACGAAAAGCTGGTTAATAGAGTCACGAGTGTCACAAGGGGTAACAACGTCATCATCAGAGACGAGATGAACAGGCTCGGTAGGAGAAATATGATGAGAAACTTTAGCTTCGTCAGAGACGATACGTCTCCTAACTCTTGGCCTTGTCATCAAGGAACCATCCTCATCTTCTTCCTCGGAGTCATCTTCTTCAATGGTTTTTCTTTTCAAGAGTATATCCTGAGCCCTCTCTAAAGAAATTTGAGTTCCTGAAGAGGAACGAGAGGCCGCAACTGCTTCAGCAGTAACACCTCGAATAGCAAATCCCGACAAAGAGAAGGATGAAAGTTAAAGCAATAAAGGGAAAAAATTTACATATGAGAAAGACAAAAACTCATACTGTGAGTCTTTACTTTCCAACCGTGACGATTGGAAATAAATTTCCAAGACCTAGCCTCCATAGGCGCGATCTTAAATAGTTTATCTACCCAACCACGAAAATTGGGAACGTTCTCCACAACTCCCATGGTTGCTAAAAAAAATAAAGTTAAAGGAATTGATAAACTTGAAAGAAAAAGGTACGAGAGGGATGGGAGACTTACGTGCAAAGTTCCACTTCTCAGGGAAGGGAACGTTTTGTTCACCCACTAAACCAACTGTGGGGGCAGCAACAAATCGGGCATACCAGCCACGATCCTTATCATCTTCTGGGCTCACCAAAACCTTCTTACTCCTAGCCACTAAGGTAAAGACGCCATTACGAAAAAGTCTAGGGGAGTATAGATGAATTAGGTGAGGGAAGGTGAAATTAACATCTGCCAAATTGGCCAGATGTCTTAAACAAGCAACAACCCTCCATACCAGCGGGCCAATATGTGCTAAACAAACTTTGAAGAAGCGACATAAATCGAGAATCACTGGATCAATAGCTGGTTTAAAACCAAGAGTAAAAGGGTATGTGTAAACAAAAGAAAGTCCAGTCATATAGGAGGTAATTCTTTGATTTGGATTGGGGATTACAATGGGAAAATCGTTACTCCAGTGACAATCTTTGCGGACTATGGGAGCTAAAATCTCTGTAATCAAAGTGGGGTAAGCATCGGCACGATCTAGACCAGAAACTTGGGTTTGAAGTGATTGTCTATCATGGTGAAAAGATAAACCGTTAGGGACTATCTCTTCTACCAAGGGCTCCTGTAATGGTTCAGAGGCCTCCTTGCTCTTAGAAGATGATTTTTGGGTAAAAGAACCTCTAGTTCTAGAGGAAGAACCAGGGCTAGGAGAAGGCATGGCAAAACCACCACCACGAGAGGATCCTAAGCTACAAAGTCTCCCATCCCTTCTATGTCTAACAAGGGCATTGGGAAAATTGTCTAAAATAGGAACTCTCCTAGGGTTAGGGTTCGAAGAAGACATGATGAGGAAGAAGATGAAGTAAATAGAGATTTGCACAGTTCAAATGTTCGAGAAAAAAGTTTTATGTGGTAAAGGTGAAAGGTAAAATTGTATTTATACTGATGGGTAACCGTTAAAAGTAAAAATGCAATAATGGAAGGGTCACAATAATGGTAACTGGTACTTCATGAACAGTGGAGCCGAAAAGAAAGCCTGAGAAAGTGTTGCAAAACTGTGGAACCAATAAGAAGATGACACGTGTCTAATGCATTAAATGGAAGTGATAATTGAAGCGTCAACTCTGTCAGAGCATTAATGCTGACAAACATTCTCCTTTAATGAATTCCACTTCCCAAATATTCAAACTGATGAATAAATGGAAAGTGGGGGGACTATCTGTATTGGGGAAAATTGTATTTATATGTATATAGTGACGTGTCATGACACGTAGACTGGTCAAACAGTCAAAGAATTAAGGTTGGTTAACAGATACGAGCAACAATAGATACGAGCAACAACAGATACGAACAAGTTAAATGGAGGAGGCGCGAGCAGTCATACAAGTAATTCAACACTCGTAATTCAACTCTCGTACCTATTCAAGACATTTAAAGGTCAAAGATCGTGAAGAGTCAAAGGAATGAATCTGACAGCAAAAAAGAGCCCAGATACAACATTTAATGAGTATTAAATACTGGAAACGTTATAGAATATGTACTTAATGTATATGATTGCATAACGTAACATTTAAAGTCATTAGTTGCCCATAAAGCCTTATTATAACAAAGGTAAGGCTCGTATCCCCAAAATAGCTATAAAAAGGGAAGGAACAAACAATTGTAGAGACAAGAAAACACTATTGAAATATACTTTGATTTACTTGCTTTCTGATCATATTATTCTCAAATTTGTTTCTCTACATACTTTTCTGATTATCAGTAACCCGTATTCTTCTAAATTCTAGCTTTGACTAAAAAATCTATTTTTTGGTTAAACAATGTGCTATGTGACTTAATAGGTCCAAGATATGGTTGTGCATTTCTCAACCCTTTAACAGCCCTATAACAGAAACAACTATGATGTTTCCACATCCTCTATTCTATTTATTTTTAGGCTTATTGTCCTCAATTCGTGAGACCTAGCTGTAAAAGGAACCCCTGTTTATTATTAAAATGACAAGATAAGTCAGCATGTAATACATGACTACGATCAAAATTCATGACAATAAATAGTAACTTATTCGGAAAGCCTAATAGGAGTGATTGCCATTTCTGAATTTGTCCTTTAATTGTTTGCCAAAGGATACCTGTTTTTTCTGTTGGCAGTGAGAGGTTAATGCCTTCATGGCACCATTTGCCGCCCTCCTCTATGCAAAAAGCTTAAATCATGTATAACACAAGTTTAACATAACAGTGCTTGGGTGAGTGAAAATTGTACAAAATGCAAAGTAGTCTCGTGTAATTGCATGCGGAGCCTCAGTTTAATCCATTAGTGACGTAGCCTGAAAATTTGGCGTTTTGCTCTTTAATTATTCTTTTTGACTCCTTTAACAATTATAGTATCGTAATCTAAAATTTGAACCCTTTGCTGGCGAGGTAACTACTATTTCATTTCCTTCACTGTTTCTCACAAAATATATTTCACTGATATTGAAGCATCTACCTCATTAAGTATCATGCATAGTGGTTTATATTCCTGCCATCTCATTCCTCTGTATTCTATAGAGATCCCTCCACTCTTTTTAACTCTCAACTTAAACCCCTAAAATCCAAGTTGAGATTAAAGCTAATAGGAGTTCTAAGAAAAAAATAAATGGAAACAGAAAGCCAAACCCAATCAAGCACTTGGGATGGCTATGTTGATTGGAAAAATAGGCCTGCTCTCATTAAGAAACATGGTGGTTTACTTCCTGCCTCCTTTGTCTTAGTTGTGGAGGTGCTGGAGAATTTGGCATATCTGGCAAATGCAAGCAATTTGGTGCTCTACTTGTCCGAATATATGCATTTTTCACCGTCAAAATCAGCAAATTATGTGACCAATTTTATGGGCACAGCATTTCTACTGGCACTACTTGGTGGATTCTTATCTGATGCTTTCTGCACAACTTATTGCATCTATTTGATCAGTGCAGTCATTGAATTTCTGACGTTGACATGCATAGGAAGAAGATAACATATCTTGCACCATGTGCTGGGGAACTTCTGAGCAAATATCTAATCGTGGGAACCTTAACATGGATTGAATACTTAATGTCATCCTAGCTCTTCCAGAAAGAAATATTACTTTTGGCCACCTACTCATGGAATTAACCCTCATACACCGGGTGACACGTGTGTAGTCTACTAATGCCCATGTGCTATGGGACTCGAATGTGAGATTGGTTTATTAGTAGACATATAACATTGCTAAAACGGACAACCACGCCAAATTGGTAGCGGCCACTAAAAGCATAACCGGAGAAGGGAACGTGGTCACTCCTCTCTACTCGTCGACTGATCAAACTGAGGTAACGAATGCTTTTATTTTGTTTTAACTAACTTTTTCTCCAAGTGGAATAAAAGTAGGGGCAGTCACCCGAGAAGCGCGTCGTATTCTCCAATACAAGCAAAATTAAGCAAACTGGGACTCCCCCAGGAAATACATCATATTCTCCAATGCAAGCAAAATTAAGCAAACTGGGACTCCCCCACGAAATACGTCATATTCTCCAATGCAAGCAAAATTAAGCAAATTGGACTCCCCCAGGGAACACCCTTTAAGGCCAAGGACCTTCGCAAAGAAGAAGAGTTCGACATCGACCAAACGACGACGGGTTAACATTTCGATAAGTTCGAAATAACACCCTTTAAGGCCAAGGGCCTTCGCCAAAGAAGAAGAGTTCGACATCGATCAAACGACAATGGGTTAACATTTCGATAAGCTCGAAATAACACTCTTTAAGGCCAAGGGCATTCTCCAAAGAAGAAAAGTTCGACCTCGATCGAATGACAACGGGTTAACATTTCGATAAGCTCGAAATAACACCCTTTAAGGCCAAGGTCCTTCGCCAAAGAAGAAGAGTTCGACCTCGATCGAATGATAACGGGTTAATATTTCAATAAGCTCGAAATAACACCCTTTAAGGCCAAGGGCCTTCGCCAAAGAAGAAGAGTTCGACCTCGTTTGAATTACAACGGGTCAACACTTCGGCCTTTTCCCGAAATAACACCCCTACGGCCAAGGGCCATCGCCAAAAAAAGAATTCGATCTCGCTCGAATTACAACGGGTTAACATTTCGGCCTTAGCTCGAAATAACACCCCTACGGCCAAGGACCATTACTAAAAAGAAGAATTCGACCTCGCTCGAATTACAACGGGTTAACATTTCGGCCTTCGCCCGAAATAACACCCCTACGGCCAAAGGCCATCGCCAAAAGGAATAATTCGACTTCACTCGAATTTGACTCTCATTTGACCTAGCTCGAACTTGATTCACAACTAGGCCTCGTTCAAATTGAATAGGGCAACGTGAAAATGAAACAATAATCACTGCTAGCATCCAAATTATATTGGGAATACAAGAAAATGAGAGTGAGACAGGTTCTGGTCTCACCTACAATTTGAGTCCATGACCCAACGCACCTATATAATTTTAGTGGTCACACTATTCTCGACAACATTCCTCCTGATAGCAACGGCTTTTACCCTACAAATTTAAATACCTTCTTTCTACGCTGCTATGGAGTCTCGACGACTGGTGGCAGATCTTGTTAAGAATTTGTCTGCAGCAGATAAAGTCAAGAGAATTGTTGTCATTTATGACATTCTCATGTCTTTGGTAGTTCAAGATGTTATTGCCATACCAATACCGAAATGTACTTCTTTGATAATGTTTCTGCTCTGGACGTATGTTCTAGAATCATGGAAGCAAAACTAAATACTGATCCAGTCACGCCGCCAACTGATATTGTGGAAATATTGCAAGAACTTGCATCCATCTAACCTGGATCAGATTCACCACCACCATTAATGGTGAAATACATGGAGAAACAAATAAGTTGCACAGTTAATTATAGTGGCCTAAATATTTTCAGTACTTGTAAACCCACTGATGGTATATATCTTGATTTGATGCAACAAGCTTTCAAATCATATGCTGAGCATTGGAAAACTTGGGGTCCCAGTTTTTTTTATGAACCCTTTGGAAACGGATCAGGATATTCAGGCAACTCATCATAAGGCGTCGTCTTCACCCTAGGAGGGCTCATGAGCATTGCCTCTGCCATTTCAACCTCCCCATCTGGATTTCTCGAACTACGATTAATGAAGTCCGCTCACCGAGCTCGACCAAGAGACGACCTCAGTAAGCGGAGGGACTAACTGTATGGGTGAAAATTAGATCAGAGAAATTCGGCACGAGGAGACATAAGGTCGTGGTCAGACAGGCCGAGGTCGGACCGTCATCAACAAGGCTAAGGTCGGACAGGCCGAGGTCGGACAGTCATCAACAAGGCTAAGGTCGGACAGGCCAAGGTCGGACCGTCATCAACAAGGCAAAGGTCGGACATGCCAAGGTCGGACAGGCCGAGGTCGTAATGAAACAACTAGTCTGCTTTGGAATCCTCAAAAGGAATATTCTACTGAATATTCCCTCTAATTGTACCTTTTTGTAGGATTTCCTATGGATACCCCTCTTATAAATAGGAAGGGAGGACTTCCCAAAAGGGAGGGCTTTCTCTCTGTCTCCCTCTCCCTCTTTCTAAAATATAGGTAAACGCACCTCTCCAAAGAATTGAGAGGATCAGTGATCCAACACCTTCATCGGATCCAAAAAAGGGTCATAAGGTTCTTGTATTTATCTACCATGGATCTTTATTAAATGAAAGAAGATCCGTCTCACTGAAGATCGGGTGAATCTTTTCCTTTATTCATATTTTTGTTACTTAATGCATCTTTACTGATCATAATCGCTGTCAATATTTATATTTGACTATGTTTTTCTATTTCTCCTACTCATCTCGGATCTAGAGTTAATTATCTTTAACTCCTTCATCTATATTGATTGATTTGCTTAAAAAGAATTTAATATCTTTTTGAGTCAAACACTCGCATATCCAATTACGTTTTGCCTTGCACGTGATCTTAAGTGAGAGACTGCCTAACTTGCATAAGCTTTTCATAAAATTTTGGAGTATATGTTTGATTTCTCTTCGTAGGCTGTTAATTTTGTTTCTGTATTTTCATTTCTTTTCTGAGAGTTAAAAGACCAATTAGCATGCCTGTTAAAAATTTTAAACTGACGTGAATGGTTTCCACTTAATTTTTCTGCTTTCAAATAGGTTTCATCTCTCGTGAACAAATCTATTAATATATAATAGGAGAGGCAAAGAAATATATGATGACAAGTGGCATAATATTAAATTGAGACATATAAATGTTTTGTGCTATAAATAGAATTTTATTTATGGTGAATGTCTATATTTAGAGAGATTCTAGGGTTTATTACTTGGTGGCTAAGTCACTCTCTTCCTATAAATAGAGAGGTTCTATTCCATTGTAATTCATCCCAAAATCAATAAGAATTACCCTCTCCCTACTTTTCTCTGCAATACTCTTGTTCTTCATTTATTGTTTTATAACACGTTATCAGCACGAGACTCTAACCAATTGAGTAGAAGCTTTGGGATTGGGCATAATGATTGTCAATTATTCCATAAACTTCCTTCATGATTAAATTTTGGATTTAAGGTAAGTATTTTACTTTATTTTTCTCTTTTAAATTCTTGAAATTCAATAATTTGATTTTATATACAAGCAAAGACAACAAAGTTTGATTATAACTCTAATGGAGTTTGTAAGAAATTATAACCACCTGAAGTGGTAAAATTCTATGCCTTGTCATGATCAAATTCATATATGATTGTGGGCAAAGAAGTGGAAACCCGTCCCACTGAATTTGCTTCATTCTCATTCTCTTAAGAGAATGTGATAGCAGTATCTGATAAGTCTGAAAGAAGACAAAATTTACTACTAAACGTATCAATGGATGTGGACGTGGCAATAGACGAAATTATAATCATCGTCATTGTGGTAATGAGAACAATAAGGATTCTCAAAATAATCCTTCACTTTGTAAAAGTAATATTTGTCATCGATTTGACATGAGATTTTGTAAAGCACATAAAGATGATTATGGTCCATTCATGATGTGAATGTGACAACATGTGAATTTTGAATATATATTCATTCTTGGAAGAATATGAACGTGCTAGTGGTAGTGAATATACCACACTCACCTTTAGAAGGAGGTTTCAGATGACATAAGAAATCAATGTCATTATTATGTCATAAATGATCATTGGTCACGTACTTATTGTACGCCAAAATATTTTGGCTTTGTGATATTAAAAGACAATGGTAATGCAAGAAACAGATCTTGCATATAATTTTGACCATAACCATAATGGTATAACTTTCTCTTTAAAAGATATATTCATCATATGGATGTTGATGAATATGTGGTACTACAAAATTAATTGAGAACTCTGTAAGAGCCAATTATACTATTTTGGAGAAACACAATTGATTGCCAATAAGGTATTGTGTTGTAGTAGGTCTCAAAGAAACTTATTCAGTTTCTAAAGTATACGCAAAAGCGCTTGATTATATTGAGACTATAAATAAAGGAAAGATTTAATATATTCTTTTACTACAACTTGTAGTTGGGTAATATGTATGTGAAAAGATACCCGCTTTATTCTCCAGTTTGTACTATACAAATAAAAGAATACCACACTAAAGTGGATGTTTATTGATATAAAAACCCATATCATGATAAACTTGGAGTTTATTGATAATTGCACACGTCATGGTGTAAATCTGAAATTTATCAATATTGATAATTTATTCAGTTGGCATAACTAGTTTAGCCATATCAATTTAAGTATGGTGTGCAAAAATAAAAGAGAATTCACATGGGTAAATATTAAAGAACTAGAAAGTTCTTTACGAATTCTCTTATGTTGCATGTTCTCATATACCAACTAAAATTGGGATTGAATCCCATGAATGCTGGAAATATCAAAGGTGAATATGGGCCTATTCACCTGCCATGTATACCACATAAGATGCATCTATGAGATGGTTACATGTGCGATTATTAATAACCCGCAACATGGTGTTTTGCGAGGTA